GTACAACGTAATATAATATCGTATATAGTATTATAATAGGAATAACACACTCGCATAAAGCAAAGTAATGATTTATAACAAAAAGTGATATATATATATACACGTAATATTGTAGTATAACTCAAAAACATAATAATGAAATAAAGCCTGATCTAGAAGAATCTGATACAATATGCTTTCATATAACGTACTATAACACAACATAGCAGCACACAATAGCAACAATAAGGTTAGTATGGAATACAATATACGAAAATGAATACACCACCATACCATACCGTACCATACCATACGATACAATACACCACAATACAACATAAAATCAAATATTGCAGTGAAACATATTATAATGCAATATAATATGGTACATGCACACCCCTGCAAGCAAGGAGTTCTTGTGAAAACCAGCGGCGTGGTGTTCTGCGGACCGAAATCGAAGCGAGGAGCAACAGGTTGATCGGGCGCGACCTTAGCCATGGTTTAGGGTTTACCCATAGGCTCCTTAGTAGTTCCTTTTTGGGATTACCTTATAGGATTCTAAATATCAACCACAAAAAGGAACTACTTAGGAGCCTATGGGTAGTTTAGTGTGTAGGGCTTGGGGTTTAAGGTTTAGCCTTAGCGTTTAAGTGCTCAGGGATGAACCGCTTCCCAAAGCGGCAAACACGAGCAGCAGTGTTCTCCGAGTGGACTGCCCGGGCACACGAGGGGAGGGGGCGGGTGTCAGACTACCACCAGCTTGGAACCGGCACTCTTTCGCCACGAGGTCCTGGCAATACCGTTCCGGACGGCGAGCTGTGTGCGGCACAGCGACTCAGGCTTGCAGGCTGTGGGGGAAAGCAGCAGCAAAGACCCTTCGGCGTGACGACTGGTGGGTTGTTCTCAGCCTCTCACCACGCATATATGGCAAGAGTGAATTTTTCCGCAATCTTAATCGAATCGAACAAACATCCCGACAGGACAGGAACGACAACAACTAATCTACACCGCAAAGAGTCTTAACGCGTCTACAGCCGTGACTTATAGCAACACTGACTAACGACCAACATGTGCAATGCTATTGAGTTGGGGAGCTTCAGCACCGCTGCGGGAGCTGTGGCTCGAAAGTTGTCCCATCCCATCTCGACACTCATGACCAACCAAACACTTAGGCCCTACAAACCCTGAGTCCTAGCCGCCATTGCCCGCGAAACCCATCAGCCAGAATCCCTTAGGCTTGTAGGGCTATAGTAAACCCCAAAAAGTTGGAAACCTGATTAAGGACAAATAGTGCTGGGATTCCTTGTACATTACTCTTAAGGATTGAGGCTATTGGGTTTCCAACTTTTGGGCTTCTACTGTATGAGGTTTGAGATGAAGCGCCTTACACCTTTAGTTTGGGAAATACAGGTCTGAACAGCAAGACGAGCATTTGCCGGTTTGATCCATTCGAGTGTAGTTACATATCTGAGGAACAATGTTGATTATTCAGCCCCGCTTCGATGCCCAAAAGATGAGAAGTCGTGGATATAAACCCTAAACTCCTAAACCCGAATAAACCTCTAAACCCTAAACCTCTATAAACCCTAAACATCTAAACCCTAAACATCTAAACCACCTCTAAACCCTAAACCCCAAACCCTAAACCTCTAAACCCTAACCCCTAAACCTCTAAACCTTTAAACCCCTAAACCCCAAACCCCAAACCTCTAAACCCCTAAACCAAAAAACCCTAAACCCCTAAACCCCTAAACCTGTAAACCCCCAAACCCCCCGAAAACCCTAAAACCCCCCGAAAACCCTAAAGCCAGAACCGCAGGCCCGATCCGGGCTGCCCACCTGCTCTGAATGCAGCGGTGGTTCAGAGTCGGGGCCTCGGCTCCGACAGCAAAACACACAAATCGGTTTATACGGGTTTAGGGGTTTAGGGTTTAGGGCTTTCGGGGTTTGGGGCTTTCGGGGTTTAGGGTTTAGGGTTTTCGGGGTTTAGCTTTTAGGGTTTAGGGGTTGGGGCTTATAGGGCTTATAGGGTTTATATAGGGTTTATAGGGTTTATTTATAGGGGTTTAGGGTTTAGGGGTTTATAGGGTTTTTGGGGTTACAGCGTTTACAGGGTTTCGCGGTTTAGGGGTTTAGAGTTTTAGGGGTTTATAGGGTTTAGGGGTTTATAGGGGTTTAGGGGTTTAGGGGTTTAGGGTTTTGGGGTTTCGGGGTTTAGGGGTTTAGGGGTTTTGGGGTTTAAGGGTTAAGGGGTTAAGGGGTTAAGGGGTTTAGGGGCTTTAGGGGTTTATGGGTTTAGGGGTTTAGGGGTTTAGGGTTTGGGGGTTTAGGACTTAACACCTTGAGCCCTAAACCTCACACTGGCCTTCTTGATGCGGTGGTGTCAGCCATGGGGTGCGTTGGAACTGGGCGGCTGCCTCCCGTCCTGCCGATGGGTGAATTCAGGCACCCTGGGCTGAAGACTAAGAGGTTCTTGCTTGGGCTTTGCGGTGGAAGTGAGTGAGGGATGTATGTCTTCACGGTTTGTGAATACTGTCAATCAGCCCTAAGCCCTCAACCCAAAACCACAAACACTGAAACAAAAAGCCTTGTTCTTAACACCACTCACTACTCAAACCCTGGAAAATGTGGTCCACAGCGGCGCAAGTTGGGGCCGCCGAGGGTTTAGGGCTTAGGGCTTATAAAATTCGATCGAGAAATCTAGGACTCAAGGGCCTGCTTTGCCAGAACGATTCCGCAAGATCCAGAATCTAAATGGGTAGTTTAGGGTTTAGGGTTTAGGGTTTTGGATCTAAATGGGTAGTTTAGGGTTTAGGGTTCAGGGTTTAGGGTTTAGGCGGTTTAGGGGGTCTAAATCTGTTGAAATGGGTGGCGTAATGTTTTGGGGATCTAAAAAGGAACCCTAATTTAGAGAACTGCCCAACTTAATAGCCGCATTGATCCTAGACGCCCTTGAACCGCTCATAAACCCTAATCCTAGCCCCTAAACACCGAAACCCCAAATCTTAAGCACTACACAAAACCCTAGAACCTCGACCGTAAAAAGCTAAACTCTACTTAAGCCCTAAAGCCCTAAAACCTAAAAGCCTTAAACCCTACCCCAAAGCCCTAAAGCCCTAAAGCCTAAACCCTAAACCCCTAATCTCGAAACCCTAAAGCCTTAAATCCTAAACACTAAAACCCTAAACCCCTAAATCCTAAAGCCAAACCTCTGAGCTCCAGGGCCTTCGCAAGCAGAGTTTAAACTCTAATGCGGGCTCCGGTTACCCAAAGAATGGCTTTAGAGGGTTTTTAGGGTTTAGGGTTGCAGGGCTTTAGGGTTTTAGGGTTTAGGGTTATATACTGTATGGTTAGCAGCCCACCGGAGCTCTAGGGAAATTGAGCGGACTGCGAGGTTGAGACGTTGAGGGCCCGAGCGTTTAAGGGTTTGGATTTAGGGTTTAGGGTTTAGGGGTTTAGGGTTTCGGGGTTTTTTGTTTTCTTGAGCCCCCCCTCCCCCAATTCACTCTCGCATGTCTCGAAAGAGGCCACATGGACCAGGGGAGGTAGGGTGTAGGGTTTAGGGTTTAAGGGTTGGGGCTACACACACTGAAAGGGCCCCCCCACCCCCAAGCCTTCAATTAGTGCAACAAAGGCTGCGACGAGGCCTCTGAACCGCCCACGCCCCAAACCTCGCAAAAACTAAAACTAAAAATCCGGGTCCTGGAAATCCTAAACCCAAAACCCCAAAACCCTACACTCCTGAACTCCTAAACCCTAAACCCCAACCCCGAAACCCTGCTAAAGGACTCCTTACACAAAAGCCCCGCCGGCTCCCTGAACCCCCAAAACGCCCTGAAGGAGCCTTCATCACCGAAGCGCTTAAGACCTAAAGCACCAGAAACCCCAAAACCCCCACCCTGAGCCCTAAACCCTTGATGTATATAGGAGCCTTAATAAATTAGAATACGAATTTGGGGGTTCCTTATTATGATTCTAGCAAAATATGCCCCCCCCAAACCCTATTCTAATTGTTCAGGCCCCTATATTTAACCCCAAATCCCGGTCCCTGTTCGATCTCGTCACCCCTAAACCCTAAACCCCAAATCCCGGTCCCTGTTCGATCTCGTCACTGTTGCTGAAGAACGGCTGCTGGGGGCGTCTCTCTGGGTCGTAGAGCTGGGAGCTCCGGAAGCCGACCTGGTCCACGTCACCAGGGTCTCTTCAAAGCCTTTAGGGTTTAGGGTTTAGGGGTTTAGGGTTATGTAGGGTTTTAGGGTTTAGGGTTTAGGGTTTAGGGTTAGGGGTTTAGGGGTTTAGGGTTTAGGGTTCGCTGTAAGGGTTGTAGAGTGTAGACTCCATTCGGGTTTTTATACGCTAGCCTTGTTAGGGGTGTCATGGTCTAGTTGCAAGGCTTTGCAAGGCTGATATGCCTTGCTTAAAGGTCTCATTTTAAGGCTTTTGACGGGCTGTGTGCGGGAGCAAACGGGTTTTCTAAGGGTCTTAAATGGGTGTAGATGGCTTTATGCGGCTTTGTAAAGGCTATAAGGATGATCATATTGGTTATGATGGCTTTGATAGGGTTCTATCTTCCCTTCCTAAGCACTTCGTAATGTTACGCTAGGGTCTTAGAAAGCTTTGCAAGGGTCATAAGACCATTGGGCTTCCTCAGGGTTTGGTGTTTGAGGGGTCTGAAGCTTCAGGTCAGGCTTTTGGGTTTGGGGGGTTAGGGATTTGGGGCTTTTGGTCTTCGGAGTTTAGGGGTTTAGGCTTGAAAAGATGGTTTTGGCTTTCTAGGGCTTATAGGGCTTAGGAAGTTCAGGGTCTGAGCCTTATCCTGAAGCCCTGTGCTTTGAAGGTTATAGCCTTTGCTTTTGGTCTTGAGGCTGAAAGCATGTTGGGTTTTGCTAATGCCCCATGAAAGTGGCAAGCAAAGGCCACTCGAAAGAAAAGGCACGCACTGCCCTTTTTCTATGCCGCAACTCTGTGCTTCGTGCTCGAGCCCCAAGCCCTTCGGAGAACACATGCGAAAGACTCACAGATCACTCGCATTCCCTAGTGTTTGCACCGGTCATAGTCCTGAGTCTTTCGAAAGTGCACTCTTCAGGATCTAAGAGCTCGGTGGTCTCTGTCCAGGGAAAGTTTCCTTGCTCAGCGAGGACTTTCACACAGTGAATGAAGTGCTGCTCCACTTCGCGGATGCGCCGCTCTTGCTCTCGTTTTGAGAGCTTCTTTCCTGCGGTAAACTCTGGATCATACACAAGCCGCCACCTTTGACGATCACCGAGAAGTCGAAGCAGGATTCCACGAGCCTTGCCTTTCGTTAGGCCGTCAGCCAACTGTTCAGTTACAGCTACCCATCGTAGATGTGTCTGCGCTGAAACCGCCTGCTTGACCGAGATCGTAAGCTCGTACCCGGCACGACTGCTCCTGAGGCCATGTAATGACGAACTGTTCTTCGTCATAGCGTCGAAGATGCCCTTGGAATCCATAACAAGGGCTCCACTCGTCATGTCGCGGACCATTTGAGCCTGCTTTCCACGAATGGGAGGATGTCCATGGGCCTCAAGCCATGCACATCGGACCAGGTAGTTCAGGTCCTCGCCTATGGTAATTGCTTGCACTTCTGACCCATTGGAACCAAGAACTTCACGAGGTGCTTTGGAAGACTTCCAAGAGATGATGTTCATGAAAACAGCCTCGCCGTCCAAGATTGAGCGAGGAGCCAGGCATGTAAGCACCCCTATTGTGCTGCCTTTATTGGCCCTGTTGTTTTGGGCCGCATCGGCCCACGTCACTGCAACCAGGTCCTGCCATGGCAACTGGAAGGGATGAAAGATCAGCGTTTGATCCGCGTTCCTCTTCATCTCCCTGACAAGCTTGTTGATCCTCATGAGGGTGTCCACCGTGGCGGTTGGGATCTCACTCAACAGCAACCCGGCCTCCGCCAAGAACTGAGGAGAGACCTGGTGAGCTCGCCAGGCAATGGTGCCAAGAGCCCCTCTCATCGAGCTAATCTCGGATGGAGTAGCCCGAGACTTGATCTGGCTGGCACGAGAGTGGTCGATAGGAATCTCCTCGACCCATTTTTCGGTGTAAGCCTTCTGGTCGAGGAAGATCGTGCCATCGTCCTTCTGAGTCAAGTTGGCACCGGCAAACTCGAAGTTCTTCTGATCCCACTTGCCCCATTCAAAGGCAGAGAGGAGTTCATGCTTGGCCTTCTGGAACACAGGGTCCTTGGACTCACCGCCAAGCAAGAAGTCGTCAACATGGAAGCCCGCCACGCCGACAAGCTTCTTCTCCTTGTTGAGCAAAATGAAGAAACAGCGATCAAACTCCAACTGAGTCCATCCAGACCTTTTCAAAGTCATCGTGACTGTGTCATACCACGATTTTGGAGCACTGCAAAGAGTGAGCTTGAGGATGGTGGAGTCCTGAGATCCATCTTCACCGAAAGCCGCAGCCAACTCGGCCGGAGCATATACAAAGAGATCCTCTTTCTCCATGTCCTGCAAGGATTGCAAGAATGCGCTCGACACATCAGCGCTTTCCAACATCCACAGATTATTCGCAACGATGCTGAGGATCAGAATCTTCCCCAATTTACTCAGGGTCGGTGAACTGGCCTGCGACTCAATGAGATTCGGCGCTTGATATCCAAGCACGACGAGTCGCGCCTTTGATCTGCCGTCTGATTTAAACGTTAACACCCACCTCATTTTCATCACTCGATCGGCGAATGTCCACTTGGCCCTTCTCAGCCGCGCTGAGTGCCCTGACTGCGCAATTACGCAATACATTCGATATCTCTTTCGCCATGGCAGTATCAAACTCCTTCTTCTGATCCAACGACAAACTGGACCAGCTGACTTCACGTCCCTTGTCCATCATCTTCTTGGATAGCCACACCTCAGCATGTCGAGGTCGCTCCACAAGGCGCTTGAAATCACATGCTTGAATAGGAACCTCGAACATGTAGCCCATGTCTTCAGTGCCCTCTGGACTCTTCCGCTTCCGACCGCCTGCAGGTGGTGGCTGCTCGTCATCAGGAATCATCTCAGACCCAGAGGACTCAGACTGCACGGAAGTCTCCTCGCCAGACTCTTCCACGGGCACAGAAGTGGAGGTTCGCTTGTCGTAGATGAACTTGTTGCCACCAGCATCAACATGTGGCAAACGATGACCCCCTGGCAAGGTGCAACCTGGTACTATGCACTGACCAGAACCACTGTGACCAGCAACTGGACCTCGTGGAGTACCTGGATTTGGCGTTCCAGGTGTTGGTGTACCAGGGACCAGCGCACCAGGTATATCTTCTAAAATAGGACCCCCAGGAGATTCCCGCTGAGATCGAGGTACAGCAGGAGGATCTAAAACATCACTGCTAGAACCTGCTCGTGGTCCATGAAGCCTTGGCTCGCTCTCCCCCTGTCCACCAAGAGGAGTCGGGACCCCCGATGGAGATTCCCGTTGAGATCGAGGTACAGCAGGATGATCTTCGCGCCCTTTCACCCTTTTTGAAGAAGGATGCTCACTCACCATTCTGAAGCGAGTCTCTCCAGTCCACCGATCCAACATGCAGCGGGCTGGATTCTCATGGGTGCGAAAGTTGTCCTCGATCGTCTGCTCATTGTCGCCGCTCTTCACAATGGTGCGACGTTCCCCAGTGAGTTGATCCTCAGCAACTGGAATGTTCTTTGTCTTGCCAGGCACCAGCATGGTCAACCTTGGGGTCAAATGAACTCGCACAAGCCATTCACCTTGGATCTCCCAATAGTCTTCTCCAGCTCTGCGAGGTCGAGGTTGTACGCGAACTTCAGCTTGTGATGGATCCTCGAGAGCCTCACGTGGAGGTTGAGCACCACTGATGTCATCATACTGCTTGCCACGGAAACCACGCAAAAGGTTCTCAACCGTCACGGGCATGCGATAGACAGCTGCACCACTAGTGATGGCAACTGCTTCCTCCGGACGGCTGCACTTCCGAAGCTGATTTGCCTTGGCTCGGATGATTGCAGCCCCTGAAGCCAACCAGTAGGTCGAGCCTTCGCGAAGGAGAACTCGAACAGGTCCTTGCCATCCACCACGACCTCCAGATCGCTTCTCTCTCCACATCATCACAAGAGAGCCAACGTCAAACGTTTGTGGAGGTCTTGAGGTCGTGTTGTTCAGCTTTGACATTTGATCAGCTGCCTGAGCACGACGGTATGCAACTGCTGCCTTCTCACGGAACTTCAGGACCTCGGAGAAGGCTTTGCGAGGATTGAGTCCATCTGGAACCTGGTCTGCTGGAACAGCTCCTCGCACCCACTGAAAAGGACTGTACCCGGAGTGCGCCTGGATGGTGCTGTTGTGAGCGTGGCACGCATAATGGAACATCGTCGCCACAGCCAGGTCCAAATCTTCTTTCATCATGCGATCGACCGTGGCCTTCAATCGACCAACCAACTGCTCCTCATGGCTCATCAGCCAGTGACATTCAGGAGGGGCAATCAACAACCCCATGCCAGACTTTCCGCAAAACTCTCGCATCTCTTCCGACACATAGTAAAGGGCGGAGTCTGCCATGAGCCACCGGGGAGCTGGATTGTGCATCATCCAGTCTCGAGTGAACATCCGTATGATGTCGGCAGTCGTTGGCTCCCAGGCATCCTCATATATCTTCACAACTGAAACAGTGCAAAGTCGAGAAGCCCTGTCAACCCAGAGGCAGGCCTTGAGTTTCTTGAGGACACCCGCTTCATTCTTGAACGTGTATTCAAAGACGTCGGTCCCCACAATCTCGTAGAGCTCCGGTGGGGTGGAGGCGAAGGAAGGGGCTTCGATGACTCAATGCATGCTGGACACTGAAGACCACGGGCCAACGTGACAGCCCAAGATGGAGCTCCTCGTCGTTGAAGTAGCTTGGCGAGGTTGGAGAAGCTCGTGTGCCCAGAGGATCGGTGTAGTCTCATCATCATCTGCCTCACTTCCTCAAGTTTCCTCCCGGTCGGAGGCTCTTCAGGAAGCTTGTTCCTTGTCAGGGCATAGGCGTGGTTGTCGGAGTCGGGAGGTCGTCCATGACGTTGGAACCATTCTTGCCCCAGCATCATCTCCTCGACATCTTCCGACAAAGGCCGAATGCCATACTTTGACTGAAGACTCCATGCCACTGAAGAAGCCATTCGCTTCTCAAGGGGCCGAGGATACCATGAAGGGTCCGAGCATCCAGGACAACCACCATGGTCTTCAACATGTTGCTTGTGTCCAGGACATGCCCTCCGGATCCCAGCCTTCACTCCCTCACACGTTGTCATAATACGCCATGTTCGATGGAGCGGGAGATCGCCACACTTGAGGCCGTAGGCACATCCTTGCACCAGAAAATCATACACAACCATGTTGCTCTCGATGGCCAGGTCCTTCAAATACTCAACCTCATCCCAGCAGCTCCGAAGTTTGGCCGGAAGTTCCAGAACAAAATCTCTCTTATTTTGTAAATGTCTGGCCACGCAACCCACGGAGTCTCGAAGAAGAGCTCGATCGCGCCGGGCAGCACGGTCATGGTTCACCTGCTGTTTTGGAGAGATTTGAGTTCGAGGGAAGGTGTCTTGTAATAGAGCTCGAAGTGGAAGAGAGACCCACAGGACCTTGGCATCGAGGGACTCAGGGAGCTGGCTCATCTTTTGAAGAGAGTCCGGTTGGACCCGCTTCGTCTCGTAGCCCATCTCGCGCACAGCTTCACACAGAGTGCTTGGGCCACCGACCTGAAGAAAGTCGATCGGGGAGCCCACTGCCGCCGTCACGGAGGCAGCTTCCTGAAGAATTCCAGAAACCAAAAGAAAACTGCTTGCAACCAAAGACTTCCTCGTCTTCGAATTTATAGAGTGCTGGCAAGTGGAAGATCCAGCACCTTTCACACGCACCTTAGCACTGGAAGGGACTCCATCATCTTTGCCTTCATCACGGTTTCCTCCTTGGCCGTTCGGAGGGTCTGGAGAAAGGCAGGCACCGGCATTTTCTTCAGTGCCACCAAAACTGTCCCAAGTGCTCTGGATGCGATCGCGGAGGACCCCTAGACGGGCCCAGAGCGCCGACGGTCGGCTCTCTCGCTGCTCTGGCCCTCGGCGATGATCTTCACACCCTGGTCGTCGAACTCCTCGATCTGGCTGAGGCCGTCCTCGTCGTGTTCCATCAGACCTCTCAGATTCATCTCCTCCAGGAGCGCCGCCTTCTGCAACTCGAGGCGCTTCTCCAGGGCCAGGATCTCCTGGAGATTCTCGTGGAGCTCCTGATCCTCCAGATCGACAGGAGCTTTCTCCGTTTCGCCGTTGAGGCCGCTGGGGCATCCTTTGCCCGCAGATTTGCTCGCTTCGGTGTTGCTCTCGACAACGCCTCCTGGTTCAACAGGCCCTCTGTCTTCCTCGCCATACACGTAGGCGCCGTCCATGTCCCCTCCGTTGAGGCTCTGGTGGTAGTGGTCGTCATCTCGTTTGTCATCGGGGGGTCCTTGTGGTGCTTGCTCATTGGCTCCGACAGAACCACGGCCCGGCCTTCCTGGCGCATCCGCCCGGTGATCTCCATGCACTTGTCGACGATCATCTTCTCCGTCACCTGGCTGGCCGTGTACTCCATGCGGATCTGCCCAATCGCCGTTGCCACCACTTCTCGCGACGGACCAGCTGTCCTGCGGTTTCCTTTCGCTGCTCCGCGGGTCCAGTACTTGAGACGTATCCCGCAGCGAGGACATGTCTCCCAACGGGCGTGTTGATTGGACCTCAGCACCCCGTCCTTGTGCTGGCCCATACAAGGCCATCCTTCCCACCGAGGGTCGTCCACAGGCGCCGGCAGCAGCTCGAAAGGTCCGCTCATGTTGCCGCCCTTGGAGATGTTCTAGCTTGAGCCTGAGGTTTCCAAGACGATCATGAACATCGAGGGGCTCACGACAACTTCTCTCTTCATGAAAAACAGGATAAGCATGTGCAACCGGAACATGGCAAACATGATCGCTGACATCCTGAAGCTGCCACTCGAAGACTGCACTGCACTCGGAGGTTCGGAGGCTTGACACAGATTCCGAAAACCCAGGCTCCTTCTTGTTTTCGTGCGTCGCCTTGAGAAGCTGCAGAGCCATCCCGATGCCGGGGGCCGCGTCATCTTCATCAGTGCCGGGAATGTGTTTCCCAGTCCCACGGCGACACTCATCTGAGAAACCTGGAGTCAGCAAAGACCGTTGCGTCTCTACTTCTCCTTCAGGAAGAACCACTCCGAGCTCTTTGCGCAGATAAACCTGTACAGCTCCTAAGGAAGTGCTTCGCACAGCTAAATCCACCACCATGTGGCCACCGAGGGTGGACACCAACGGAAGGAAAGCAAGCTGTCCATTGCGTCGAAGGAACATCAAGGTCTCATCGCCGTAATTCACTGTCGCCTTGACCTGTCGAAGGGTCCTTCCCCCGAGAAGCAAGGGGGTGTCTTGAGAGTTCGGGTCGTCGAGGACATAGACCGAAACCAGACCCAAGGCAGGCGTGTAGGCATCGACACGGGAGAGGGCTTGCAAGGTCCGACCATCTCCAAACCTGAAGGTAGGCCTGTCGGTCAGGGCCACGTCATATCTGCAACCGGAGGCTTCCAAGAATCTCTCCATGGTCCTGATCCCACAGGCAGACTCCGTGGCTCCAGTATCAACGATGACCTGGCTAGCCCGAAGCTTTCCATTCACGGTGTCGTTGCCAACGGACAGCACCATGATGTCCTGTGGCAGGAGCTCCGGCAGGGACTCAAAGGGCTCCGGCTCTGGGTCCTTGGTCAGCAGGTAGGAGAAGGCATAGCCCGCATCCACTAAGTGGTCCTGGGCATATGTCTTGCCCTTTCCACTTCCTTTCTTGCTCTTCCCTTTTGAGAAAGAGCCCTTCTTGCCAAAGCCTTTCTTGCCCGAGGAGCGCTCGCGACACTCCCAGTAGCGATGGCCAAAGCGACCGCAGGCAGTACATGGGCCGCCCTTGCCTGCACCCTTCTGGCCTTTAGCTCCAGAACCAAAAGATCTAGAACCGCTGGAGGACGAAGGGGAATGCTTGCCACCAAGGGGATAGTAGCCACGTGCCTGGCGGGCTTTCGCCACGGCATCTCTTGCCTGCTGGAGCGTCTTCTGGGCCTCCTCTGCGATCGCGAAGGCCTCTGCCTCGTCCTCCAGCAAGGCTTTCTCGGCTTCATCCATCGGAGGATCGCTGCTGGCCTCCGGAACAGAGGCCTCAGACTGCGCTCAGACTGGGCTGGCGCATAGTAGGCCCAGTCCTCGTATGAATTTTGCTCCGGCCATTCAGAGGACTCGTCTCCATACCAGTAGACCTCGTCGTCCCCGGCACCAGTTTCCCACGACCACTCGTCCCACGGGTCGTAGTAATCGCTCTCCTCTTCGGTCTGATTCCACCATATTCCACCATGCAGAGGGGCGGTGTCGTCGTGACGTCAGGTCGGTCGTCACTCCTTCGTCAAACATCGCCCGCAAAGCCTGGCGTATGGCCTGAAAGGTCGTGGTGTTGCCGGTCAGGGTCAGGATCTGCTGTCTCTCCGACGACTGAAGGCCACATGCCTTCAGCAACCTGTATCCGTGAAGTTCATCCTCGAAGAAGCCGCCGGTGGCACTGACATGCGTCTTTGTGGTCTTCGTTCTCGTCGAAGAAGTCGGCGAGGTGTCCGAGGATGGCTTCGAAGTGGGTCGCTCGGCTGTGTCCTTGGCCTCCTTCTCCTTGCTGTCAGGCTCCGTCGCTTCGGCTCCATCATCAGCCGGAGTCTCCTCTTCGGAGTCCTGAGGAGGAGGCTCTTCGGAGAACAAGACCTTGGAAACACCACCAGAGTTGACGTTCCGAGCCCGCTGAAGGCTCTGCTGAAGTTCCACAAATAGTTCCTCTTCTCGAACCAGAAGTTGCGGTATCGACTCTCCTTGCCTCTTGTGCAAGCCGGACCATCTCTCCAGCCGCTGGAACGTGTCCGGGACTGGCAGCCGTTGAAGAGGACTTCTTCGAAGAACATCTGGTAGCTTCTCCAGGCCGCTGTTGGTGCAGTACGCTGCAGGATCTAAGTTCCGCACCACAGACTTGGCTGACCCCATCAGTCTGTGCCAGACTCTCGGCGCGGCCAGCTGCTTCTCGGAAGCCTTCAAGGAGAACTGGTACCACCTGCATTCGGTGGCAAACCGTTCAAAGGTTGACGGGTTGCCGTCCCAGGATGGAACTTCACTGTCCTTGAAGTGCCCCGCCATCTTTTGTGCCGCGGCTCGTTCAGGTAAGGCAGGGTCGCGGAGTAGGGCTCGTAGTTCTTACCACCAATCTCCAGGAGGTACGACTTAATCGTGTAAAAGGGCGAGGCCTGAACCACCAAACACGGGGCCCAGGCTTCGAAGAATTTCGGGCAGAGAAACCTCGAGGCGGAAGTCACTTTTGCTGAAGCTCCCCGGACCTCCAGGTGAGCTCCGCTGCCATGAAAGTGGCAAGCAAAGGCCACTCGAAAGAAAAGGCACGCACTGCCCTTTTTCTATGCCGCAGCTCTGTGCTTCGTGCTCGAGCCCCAAGCCCTTCGGAGAACACATGCGAAAGACTCACAGATCACTCGCATTCCCTAGTGTTTGCACCCCAGTAAAGGTTGAACCTAAACCCAGGCCCTAAGCCATAAACCCAAACCACCAGACATCTAAGTCAGATGGTTCGGGGTTGGCAGCGCTGTTGGATCAGCCTCTCGGGTGTTTGGGCTCCAGTTCAGCTTGAAACCGCCCCACTTAAAGGCTCATGGGACTTAGTAACTATAGGGTCATAGATAAGGTAACCCCAGATAAATACTTCTACCTGTACTTGCTAAGTCCAAAGAACCTCCAACAAGAAATCCATTAGGATGGTTGCCCTTGCTGTGCCTCTCATTATGACACTTTCTTCCTACCATCAGCCATCCACAGCAACCACTGACAAAACACACAAAACCCGAAGTTCAAGCGTAATCCTGAAGGCCTCCCGGTTTGAGGGCTTGGGGCTCCGTAGGTTTTCAGGGATAGCAAGAATCGGTTTGGGGAACCCACGCAAGACACCCCAACGCATGCCTCCGACCTTCTGCAGAGCTCTACAACATATGCTTCGGTTCTCTCGTCGGAGAGAGTGGGTTTTGGGTTTTGGGTTTAGGGAGAGCTGCTTTTGCTGAGTGCTTGGCCCAGGACACTTTCGTCCCCCAGGGCTTTGTGCAGGACTTGTTGAAGTTGTGAACGAAAGCCAGAGGTGGTCGCGCTTGCCAAAAACGGTATGCCAACCAATGACTGGGCCCCTAAAACCATATGGGTTTAGAGTTTAGGGGTTTAAGGTTTAGGGCTCAACCCAAAAACCCTAAATCCTACTCCAATGCCTTCCTTGCAACTGTTCCGCAACCCTCAACCCTAAGCCCTACACCCACCTGTCGATAGTCTCGGCCGTAGGGCGACTGCACTGTCAAAATCTTGCTCGCCATGGCTTGAGAGCCTGTAGTAGAAGCTCTATGCTAAGGTTTAGGGTTCAGGGTTTGGGGTTTAGGGTTTGTGGTGACGGTTTGCGCGTAGGGTTTAGGGTGGCTTAGCGTGTAGGGCTCCACTCCCCCGAGAAGGTAGGCAAAACATGTACTTGTGAGATCCCTAGACAAGAAGCAACCAAGAGCCGTATAGGAGGGACCTTAACCAGCAAATGTCCCAGGGTTCTTTATAAGTATGCGGTGTCAGAGTTTCAATGTAAGGGGCTGAATGATTAGAATGGTATTGAGGTTCTGTATCCAAATTAGTACCTGAAGCCTGAACCCTAGACCGATATAATATAACGGAGAGCAGAGGGGCGCAATATGACTAACCGAAGACAAGTTCGTTTCCGTATATATCAATTTTAGCATTCACCTCCTTCACATAAGCAATACGAACAAACATAGCCCGAAGCAACCTAGATCCAATGCAAACCATCTGAGTCCTAAGCCATGTAGTCCGAATTTCGGGCAGCATCTGTCATGGAATCTGAGCCCAACGGCTGATGGCTGCCATGTTGCACGCGGCGACATCGAAAGGGATCCTCCCCTCAGTCCCTCAGACGAACAGGAAAGAGAGATAGGTCATTATTCACACTGTCCTCTAATTCCCAAGTTTTCAGTTATCACTCGAACTTTTAAGGGTTTAGGGTTTAGGGATTGTATTAGAGGCCGTGGATAAAGACCTAGGTTTCCAAAGAAAAGCAGCGGAAATTCTGGCTGCGAGTGATTCAAAGCCGTTGCAACTTGGGCGGCCGAAGCGTGAAACATGAAACCATGACATGGTTTAGGGTTTAGGGTTTAGGGATTTAGGGGTTTAGGGGTTTAGGGGTTAGGGGTTTAGGGTTTAGGGTTTAGGGGTTTTGGGGTTTTGGGTTTTGGGTTCCTGTGTTTCTATGTGGGAGGGGTTCCCCATAGGCTCCATAGGAGTTCCTTTTGTTGCGGTTGTTATTTGGGATTCTAGAAGGTAAGCCCCCGAAAAGGAACTGCTATGGAGGCTAGGGGTTCGAGCCTAGGACTGAGGGTTAAGCAGTAGAGGTACAGAATTGACATGTTTCAGCCACCCCAAAGTCGAGATTAAGCTCGCACACCTGCTTCCTGTTCCGGGCTCCGGCTGTTCAGCCATGTACACGGGACCTATAATCCCTAAACCCTAAAACCTAGATATGTGTCCCGTCCAATGCTTTATCATCAGCTCTGAAATTAGACCTCGTCTCTCTTGCTTTGATATGTCGGGTTTAGGGGGTAGGGTAGGGTTTAGGGCTTAGGGTTTAGGATGTAGGGTTTAGGACTCACGATGTGTATAGGAACCCGCAGCCATGACAAGGCTATCGATGCTACTTTCCCTGGACCTGCTACGTACGAACCAAAGGCTCTAGCTCCACCTCGAACGAAGCCTGGTCCACAACTCCAAACCCTAAACAGCAGCTTCATTACAAGACGACCCCCAAGACAACTGACTTGAATCCCTAACCCCCCTAACCCCCGGACATCACCCAAAACCCCAAATCATACTATGGATACCTTAATCACTAGAAAGGGGCTTTGGGGATTAGGAAGCCTATAATATGATACCCGAAATCCTCCCTATGCATAACTATATCAAGGAAGTCCGAATAGCAGTAACTCTGCAGACTCCTAATATAGGCGCCTTAATAGTCAGAATAGGGTTTTGGGGTATACTATATTATAGCTATAATAAGGACCACCCCCCCCCCAAAAAAAAAAA